AAAATGACGTGATCATCATACAAATTTGTATGTACGTAGGCATGGCAATACGGATCTTCGAATTGGCTTATCAACTGCATTTTTTTGTTATGTATATATAGTTACATTTTGGCAAAAAAATGGAAATGGGACATCATTAATTTTTTACATACATACATAGCTCGCGTGCCAAAAACTCCAAAATTCAATAAAAAAAAWAAATAAAAAAAAAACTCTCGCCCCTAACACACGCGGCCAATAAATCGACCTGCAATGGCGTTACAATGTGCTATCGTRATTGCACGTATATTTTGGTACATTTCAATTATTTTTCAACTATTAAAATTTTTAAAGATTAATTTTGCATATAATGTAAATAAAGTTATTTAATAATATTATTTATTGTGTACCTGTCATTATGAATGTGTATACAAATATGTATATGCTTATAGTTTTAGGTGTAACGAACAACTCTCAGGTGGACAAACTGTTATACTCTGCAATACGGTATATTACGAGAGTATAATATAAAATATTGTGTTTCAGTATACAATACATAGAAACACATGCAGCGTAAAAGATACCAGGAAGTGTGTGAACAATCTTTTTAGACACAACAATTTGGATTCCCTGCTTTGAACATCGACAATAATGTATTGAGAGATATAAAGTAATACGTGTTCGAAAAAATTTTCATTATGTGTGAAAAATATATCCCCATGTTCACGTCGACTATACATAGTAAAAATAGTAAAATTTTGAAATGTTATCAGCARTAATTCGCAAAGAAACCTTATGTAAATTTATATATGTATATTTCCATATACATATTTAAATGTGCAAACGTTAAAGCCAAAAACTAACATGAATATAAAATCAATATAAACTTCTGTGCAATTTTTTCTTTCAATACCCACCTCTGTTAATGCATCACTGTTACTATTTTTTCTTCCAAAGTGGCTTGCATAACCAACTCATTGTATTTTGACAATTCATACGCTGTGCCTCTCTATAATACATACCATCTTCAGCTTAAAGATTGGGGTGCTTTACGTCATTTTGTTCAATTTAGTGTTCCTAAATTTATTCATATATTTGTCTCTTTCTAGGCAGATACGTAAATTAAGGGTAAATGTGAAGCAACACACTCCGACTAAAGAAAGGAAAATTAAAATTTCGTCGTAACCATATAATTAAATAGTTAATTCGTACATTTCAAGTAAACGTGTGTGATGATACATGAATATAATACATCAATCTATACATTTAACTAGTTAAATAAATAGTAACACTCCACAAACGTCCGTGAATATTTCAATTTGTTAAATGTGGTTACCGAATAAGAGATAAAATCAATAGCTTCGATATAATATTACCATTTTGTTAAGGTTGATGTCACAAAACCGTTCCTTGCTCGAGTTTTAAATTGAGTTGCTCCGAAGTCAGTGAGTGCAATACGATTATTTACACATTATTAAAACTTTCATAAATTCTTAAACACAAGTACATGGAACTGCATATGTAAATGTAAATATCTACAGTATACGCACATACATAGGGGTATGAAATATTCTAATGGATGATGTGACTGTATTATGGGTATATAGTACAATTATATTAACAAAACGAATGAAAATAAAAGTTTTGATTTTGGTTTTGGTTACTTTGATTTTAGAATTGTGTCATACGGTGTGGTCAGCGAAGATGGTTCTCATTGTAAACTAAAAATACCGAAATATGAAAAAGTAAATAAAACAATTTTTAAGTGGGTTAAAATTTTAATTGATGACAGCACTTCAATGAGCTCCTCCGAATTAAATATGAAGAGCCAAAAAGAACGTATGTATGTAGTTTAGCAAATCTGCATGAAACAACTGCAATTAATCTGGTTCAGCCATTTCATTGTTATTGGCAATTACCTAACGTATTAAAGTAATTATTGAATCAGACGATATACCCATGGAGTCTATATACTGTAATATGATATAAAAACAAATAAGGGGTTGAAATACTTTCAGGTGTTGGAAAACCTTACACTAACCTAGATAAAAAGTTCACTTCTAGCTAGAATATCCTTCATAAATAAAAAACTTTCCATACAAGCATTTGAATTTGATTGAAAAAATTTTTCCTTTTATGAACTTGATTATGATCATTCATTTTGAATGACAGCTCAGCTCGCCACGCTGATCACTCACCATATACATTGTGACAAAAAAGCAAACGGAAATTGTAACTAAATTACCCGGGTTAATGATAGATATATTTTTGTATAAGTTGGAAATACTGTCCTTAGTTGCTATGTTACTATGCCAAATATGAGCGCGATCTGTCAACCAGTTTGTTTACAGCAGTTGCTAAAGTCGGCAAACCTAAGTAGAGCGTTGCGATTTTTACAATGGATAAAAATATCGAACGAATAATGTTAAATTTCGTGTGCATGTTGGAAATGGCTTACGGTGACTCAGTTTTATCAAAACCAGAAACCTGCGAGCGTTAAAAACCCTTCAAAGGTGGTCGAGAGATCGTTGAAGGCACGCCTGGTTCTGGACGATTCTCGAGCTACTCAACTGATAAGAATGTTAAAAAAGTAAAGGATACGGTGCTTGAAAATCGTCAGGTAAGTATTCGAGAGATGACAGAAGAGCTCAGCATCTCTCTCGAGTCTGAATGCTTTTAGGTGGATATATTGAGTATGAAACGCGTTCTTGCTCGTGCGAATCCCGATTCCATATGAGCTAAACATTCAAGCAAGTCAATAGTCATCGCAATGGGAGGAAACGACGAGCCAAAGCCAAAAAAAAAGAGGTTCTATTTGGTTGAATTGAGGTGTTTGCATGAGAATATTTCAAGAAAACGGTCAGAATTATGGGAGAGCAATTCGATGATTTTACACTATGATAAGGCACCATCGCATCGATCCACGATTGTGAAAGCCAAAACGCAATGAATACTATCGATGAACCGTATTCACCACATTAGACCCCGTGTAAKTTTTTCTTGTTCCTTAAACTGAAATTCCCGCTCCGTGGACCCCGATTTCATTCAGTCGAAAGAAAAAACAAAATTTGCCGAAGGAGATGTTTTTATGAGAAGTGTTTCGAGGACTTCGGGTGTAGATTACTTTGGATTCTACAAAATAAATATTGATGAATAATTAAATATTTTGTATTTTACTTAAATTTCCGGGTACATATTTTTCACAATGTATGTATGTTTCTTTTATGGGGTCTCCATTGTTTACTTCTGGATGTTACAAACTTCGTGGCAAATATATTATATTCTGTTAATGGTATGAAAATGTGGCGCCAGAATTCAATACGCATTATTTCAAGAACGGAAAATAATTAGATTTGCTATTTATTAACTTATATTATTGATCATACTTAAACTCACTCAGTTTAATTATTTTATTTTGCGTTTCGTAATTATTTATATTAATGTTTTTCACGGATCTTTTCCAAGATTTAGTGCAAATTGAATATCTGGCCAGTTGTTGATTTTTCAAGGCCACACTGATAAGGTCCAATCAGCTTGCTGACAGTAGTTGGCGCAGAGCGTGGGGTCTCTTTTTTGGGGATTGAGTAGTGAACACCCGAATTCTAAAGGTCGGAATTGCTTTTGTCCGCCCATATTATACAAAGACGCTGATGCATTCTCTTTATCAGCTCTTCGCCGACGTATTTATATAGCTCGGCCGGCAATCCATCAGCCCTCGCCGCTATCGAATTACTAGCGACTGCTTTTCGCAATATTACATTATATGATGAATTTCGGCAGTGCAAGAAGGATTCATTTTTAGTTTTTTGATGCACTGAGTGTAATTAGTGAAATTTTTCTTATTTCGCTATTTCTTGCTGCGACACAATAACAAATTTACAGGCATTGCAGCAACTTTATTTAGTAGAGGCAGAACAGCTCATTTAGTATTTAAACTGGCATTGTATGGTATATTGAAAGATATAAACAAATACCACAAATTATTTGGCGGCACTCTGTTAATCCTTTTTTCTTCAATAACCCCGATGCAGTGCGCACCATGAAAATACAATTGTGTAAATTTGTGTAAAATTATCATTTGGAATGAATGCAGCATAGCACACAAACATTCACTTGAGGCATTGGATGGAATATTGAATAATATAAAAAACATCGATAAACTATTTGGCGGCACTCTCCATCTCCTTTCAGTTGATTTCAGACAGACAATTCCAAGGTTCAAAGCACGCTGATGTCTTGATTGTTTGTTATTGAGTTATGAAATTTAATGAATATACCGGACATTCCATTGCATCATTTACAACTGAAGTTTGGGTCTCCGGTAATTTGTCTTTGTATTTGCGCCCACCAATTTTATAAATAATGAAAAACATGAAGCGGCCTTCTGAAGGGCAAGTTCAAAAGCGAAAATGTTTTGCTGCCATGAATACTTACGATTCTTACAGAAGTGCCAATTGAATTAAAACGCACTCAACTTATATTTAGATTGGCATCCGCAATGGCGTCGAATAACTCACACTCTGTTGGTGGCTTAGATTTGGGTAGGTCATGCTTTTCAMAAAAACTACTTAATGTGTTATGTTTTTCTTCAGATTAATCAAAATTTGTACCCTGCATTGTTATGAGAGATTTATCTTTGCTTGTTTTTATTTATTTATTTAGAGAAGAAATATGAATAACTGCTACAATGAAATATTAAAGAAAACAAGTAAGGACAAGTAAGGGTGTCATCGAACATTTTATACTCTCGCATGACAAAGTGATAACCGAGATTTCAGGCGTGGTTGTGAACCGATTTCACCCATATTTGGTACATGTCATTAGGGTGTTAAGAAAATATTATGTACCGAATTTCATTGAAATCGGTAGAGTACTTCCTGAGATATGGTTTTTGGTCCATAAGTGGGCGACGCCATGCCCATTTTAAATTTAAAAAAAAAAAGCCTGGATGCAGCTTCCTTCTGACATTTCTTCCATAAAATTTAGTGTTTCTGACGGTTTTTTTAGTTGATTAACGCACTTTTAGTGATTTTCAACATAACCTTTGTATGGGAGGTGGGCGTGGTTATTATCCGATTTCTTCCATTTTTGAACTGTATATGGAAATGCCTAAAAGAAACGACTCTATATAGTTTGGTTGATATAGCTATAGTAGTTTTCGAGATATGTACAAAAAAGTTAGTAGGGGGCGGAGCCACGCCCACTTTCCCAAAAAAATTATGTCCAAATATGTCCCTCCCTAATGCGATCTTTTGTGCTAAATTATGCTTAATCTTAGTTATGACACTTTATAGGGTTTCGGTTTCYGCCATTTTGTGGGCGTGGCAGTGGGCCGATTTTGCCCATCTTCGAACTTAACCTTCTTATGGAGCCAAGAAATACGTGTACCAAGTTTCATCATGATATCTCAATTTTTACTCAAGTTACAGCTTGCACGGACGGGCAGACGGACATACAGACATCCGGATTTCAACTCTACTCGTCACCCTGATCACTTTGGTATATATAACCCTATATCTGACTCTTTTAGTTTTAGGACTTTCAAACAACCGTTATGTGAACAAAACTATAATACTCTCTTTAGCAACTTTGTTGCGAGAGTATAAAAATAATAATAAACAAACATATGGGTAAACAATATTTTTTTCCATTTTGACCATGAATAAACAAAGGGTTGGGAGTATGCACTGTGGAACAGGCAACATAAAGTTGGCCATGAGAAAAACATGATTCCTACAAATTCACACCACAGACGTTAAATGTTTGCCCTTGGGCCTTGTTGATGGACATCGCATCATTTGAATTGAAATGGCACAACAGTTGCAATCGCAGGGAAAAACTTCTACAACTTCTGCAAACTTACACTTTTGATTTAAGTTAAGATCGTAGCTTTGATCAAATTCGGCAATAACTTTTTCACTGCCAATCTAGTGCCATTACACAAAATTCAATTGGATAATTCTACATATACATACCTCATCTTGATTCATAACACAATCAATTGATTTACATATATTATACATATGTCGTAAATACACCTTGCAGTTTCGTTTGAATTTGAAAATTAATGGCATTGATATTCATGGTTTTTAGAATATTCAATCATGTATCGACTGCGCAGTTGTACAAAACTTTTTCGATATATTGTTCAATCCGTTGGTACTGTCGATTTGTATTATCACCACCAATTTATAACAATTCTTTTGAAAACTCATGGGCAGCTTGTAAGTGAGTACGCATTTTATTGTTTAGTGTAAATTTTTGTACATATTTCCAAAAAAAGCAAAATAATCCTCCAGACACCTTCATTAGTAATAACATAGCGCCCCGCTTGATACTGAGTAATTTCACAATTTCTATAAAAAAAAAAATAAAAACAATTTCCAATAAATATAAATTATAGTACAATGGTTTGGTTGGAGTTTCTAATGCTGGTAATTCGTTTTGCCATTAATACAACACCTTCCAGCCGTGGACGTATTGCGTGCATCATTCCAATGTATCCGTATTTACTATAATCAATCTGACTGCTGTAATTAAAAGCTGTACGCATCATTTCAGCAGGGCGTATTCGTGATCGTCGTGCAAGAGTCAACAGATCTATTTCTTGCCCTGTTGTTTTTTTGAGGGTTTGTTTTATCTACATCGGCATTTACACTAACGACATGGATATTTAAAAGTATAAGATGGAAAAGGAGCAATTATGTTTTCTATAAATATGGAAAGTGGAGCTTTTGTTTAATGAATTTTTCTACGAGAAAGTTTTTCATTTTTGTAGAGATCACACATATACCATTGT